CATTGAAATGTTGATGTATTTTTACAAAGACTTCACCTGTCTGGAGTTGAACAGACACCATGATTTGAAGTGAGCAGTTCAAAAGTTTCTCAGCAAAAATCAGAAGAATGGAAGAGCTTGATCTCTTCAGTATATTGATAAGGGTTGTCATAAATGGGAGCAGTTTCTTAGCTCCTGCTCATGCCTGATAAGGATAGTCTCATCACCTGCTAGCAATAACCTGGGTTTTCATAAGCTGTATTAGCACTGCTTCTGTGTTTGTTCACTGTGTGACTCCACAAGGATGCCATTACCTTTGAAAATACATGTTGACATTGGGAATATTTCTGTAATTGTGTTTTCAGATGTTTCTGTGTCTTACCTACATCCTGCTGAGAAGGGCTCAGCCATCTGGTACAAAATAGCTTAAGTCATTACTGGATACCAGTGTCTCTGTGCAGGAAGGCACACAGGTTAATCATGGGCAGAGACCCCGCTGCTTGGAATGAGAAATCCATAGCAGCTCCTCTTAGATGTGCAGGGAAAGCCATCAGAGGTCAGGGCTTCATCTTGTCGATCATGAGACATGCAGGGATGTTTTGCTTGATTGTAACAGCAGGAAGCCTTAAATTTAACTCAGGTTGAGAAGGGAGGGCTTCAGCTCCAGTACCACTTCATAAGCATTGTGGTTCTTTCCTTGGTCTTTAGGGAAAATTTGCACAATCCTATTGTAGCTCTGCTTGTCTGCCTGTCCTCCCAAATAACATCTCCCCCAAAGCCACTGAGCAGTGGCACCCAAACAAGTGGAAGTTTTCTGGTTTCTAATGCAATCTGCTTCTTACTAGTGCCAAGCAAAAAAAAAAAAAGGCACCTGAGGGAGCCAGTTAAGGACCTGCACTGATGAATTTGGAGATTTAACCTTGATTAGACATCAGAGGATCCACATAGCGTGAGCCATTATTAACATTGTCAAGTGAAAAGCTTCATTCATAGATCTTGCCTGCTTAAACATCAAAGTGAACCAACCTCAAAAGAAATCTGTGGGGAACCAGGCATTCTTAGTTCTCATATTGATCATACTACTTGTTCTGAAAGTTTCACCCAAGCTCTGGCAGTGCTTGACCTTGCAGAGGGAACATCATGTACAAACAATGCAAAAGCCTGTGCCTGTTTCTTGTTCTTAAAGTTAGCACCAGGTGAATAATTGATATCAAATCATACATTCTGTAAATAATCTAGTTTTCTGCAAATAACATCCCTAAACAATTACATTGGAGAAAATTATATTTAGTTTTCTAATATGAGTCATAAAATCTCTGATTAATCATTTCTGTGTCTTGAAAAATGTTTAGTGTATGCTGTTCATATATCAGAATAAAAGCTGGACACAAGGTAAAAATTTGTCCATTATAGAAAACAAATACATGGATCCTACCAAAATAAATTTTTAAGTTCAAATGAATCTTCCAGGCTGTTTCTAGGCAATATATTCCCAGACCTTATCACAGCCTAATAAAAGGGAATGCCTCAATGATACCCCCTTTCTCTTCAAGGTACACTCTGTCCCAGAAGGCATCTGTCAGAAAAGGCATTTATTTTGTTTGTGGAATTCCTATGGCTCTCACTGGGAATTCTTGTAAAGGGAGGGAGAACTAATCATACAATGAAATTATCCATTGCAGTCCTTTAACTATATCAGATAATTTAAAAATTATATTATACTTTCATAAAGGTTGAGATAGAGTTTTCCATCAACTGTTTTTAGGGTTTCAAAGAACAAACTCTAGCAGGAAGAAGGACAAAAAGCAGCTCTGGGAAATATCATGTGAAATGTGCATTTCTATTTTTTAAAATTCTACCCAAAGTTTTAGTCTTAAATGCAAAGCTGAGAACTACTGATAGCATGGAAAAAATAAATAGAAAATATATTGAAAATATTTTTTTGTATTTTGTATTTTTGTATTCAGAAGTCTTTTATACAGGTTAAATTTTAGAAATGATCCAGAAGGATCTTCACATTGTTTTAAAATACTGACTTTAAGAAATAAAATAAATAAAGGAAAATAACTTGCAATAACATTTATTTTCTTTTAAACTAGGCAAAAGAAAGTAAGTAGGGGAAATGAAAAAGAAATCTACACATGAGGAGAAATGGTTAAGTAAAGAAGTAATCCAAAGTGTGGGAGGAGACACAGTTGGGACCCCTGCTGACCAAGGGGATATTCCAGATATTCCATACCATGCACAGTCATGCTCAGCATATAAAGCTGGGGGAAGAAGGAGGAAGGAGCGGAGACTTTTGGAATAGTGTATGTTTGTCTCCCAAGTTCCCATTATGCATGGTGGAGCCCGGCTCTCCTGGGCATGGCTGAACACACCTGCCTGCCCACGGGAAGGGGTGAACGAAATCCACATTTTGCTTTGTTCATAAGTGTGGCTTTTTTTACCCTATTCCAGTGTCTTTATCTCAGCCTCTGAGTTTTCTTCATTTTACCTTTTCTATTCTCTCCCTCTCCCACCAGGGCAGGATGAGTGAATGGCTGTCTGGGCCTTGATTGCCAGCTGGAGTTAAACCACAACACTTCTTTGTTCAGTCCAATCTGGAACACTTGAAGAAGAGATCAGGACTTGTTTGATAAAAGACAAACTAGTCATGGGATTTTATTCAGCAAATGTGTGTAATTTTCTAAAACTTACGAAAGTGGGAAGTGAAGAACCAAGGTGAGCTCACCCAGCTCCCAAAGAACCACTGCAGCTTTTCCCAACCCCATGGGACGCCCACATCCATGGGGAGACACTGGAGACCCCAGCCCCAGGGGCTGGAGCCACAGCAGAGCATGGTGGGACACCAAACTGCAGAAGGCTTCTCCACCTCAGGAGGCAGGACAGCTGCTCCAGCCAGGACTCTTTTGACCAGCAGATTTGTGTTTAGATGCTGGTCAGGCAGTGACTGCTTTCTTTCAGAGGACACTGACCTTTCTCACACAGACCACTGGGCAAGTGCCCCCTGCTCCAGAACAGGAACGGTGCATTGTGCATTTGGCTTTAAGTCACTGAAGATAGAGGTGGAAAATTTATAGAAGCACAGGGCTGTGACCTTATCCATTTGTGCTTTTATGAGACACCTAACTTGGTATTTACAAGATGGTAATTATATTATTTTAATGTTGATGGCTAATGGTTACAAGAACGTAGCTATTTGATTAATATAAAGTGAGAGATTAAATAGCCCGTTTACTGTAACCTAAATGCCTAATTAAATAGCAAGAGAATTTTCTTTGCATATTATGGTATAACAAATATGTGAGCATTATATATTAATACTTTAAAATACACTATTGATGTTGTACCTCATTAGTTAAACAGTCCCTCTGTTAATATGGTTTAACAAATATTTGAGCATTATATATTAATACTTTAAAATACACTATTGGTGTTGTACCTCATTAGTTTAACTATCCCTCTGTTAATAGCACTTTAGAAATACTTGCACTGTCAACAGTCCTGATTCCTAATTTATATTACCTCAGTACTGGTTTATTTTACCCTGTTTACAGATCCCCAGACATTTACTCAAAAACCCAACAAAATATAACATTCAGTTCCTGGCTGTCTAACTTTGTGGAAATAAAATGCAAAATCATTCATTTCATGGGCTTTTGAATTTACAGTCCAAGATATAAAAGCTGATCTTGAAGTTATCTGAAAATTTCCAATGAGAATATATATGGAATTCCAGAATCTAATTGAAATCTAATCAAAACACTTCTTTGGATAGACATTTTTCCAAAACAAGTGCTGTCTTACTAGTCAAGATGCTGTAGTTAATTATATTTCTTCATTAGAACCCTTTTAAAATATATTTTATTCTTTGTTGTCTAATATTACTGGAAAGAAAAGGGGGAAACTCTTGATGTTTTCATTTTTATAAAGGATGCCTTGGTATGAGTTAGGCAATTACTACACTCATATACTCAATACATTGTGCTTATATCTTTGGAATAAATGAGAGCCACAGATATGATTTGTCCTTACCTCCATACATCATCACACTTTTAAGCAATACTTAAGGTCTCAAAAAAAAATCTTTTTCTTAATGCCTTGACCAATATATGTTAATAACCTTAAGCATTTTTCCTAAAGTTGTTGGGAAAAGAGGAGGTAGTAGTTACAAATGTGAAATAGGAGGCATTTAAGTATTTCAATAGTATTTTTTCCTTTCCCATTAACTCTAAGGTGATTTTATGAGTTAGGATTTCCTTTTCTACCCTGTGACAGATTTCCAAGATGTTGATTCCTGCACAGATTATTTTTATATGAGGACACCATTTTGCAGATTATCTTTTTCATTAGAAGTAGAAGAAGAAAAGCAAAAAAGATTTGCTGGTGATTTCATACAAGTCCACTTTGTATGAGGCTTCTTGACCTTCTCTGATTGATGTTTTTTTTTAAGAACTATGACATTCAGTTTACAATCAGAATATTTACTCCTGAGAACCAGTTACTCATAATATAACAATGACAAGTATTTCTATCTGACAAAGTGTTCAGCCCAAGTGCTGAAAATGGTACCATAGTTCTTTTGCTTTGATAAATATTCAATATTAAAATCCCTAAAGATGTTACTGAAAGCATTGTTACTCTAAGGCATTTCTGTCTTGTTTGCATTTAAACAAATCCTACCTCTCCAGATCTTTTCAGGTTTACTAAGTTCTAATACCACCGGGGAAAATTTCACTTCTGACTTTTTTTTCACATTCCCCTTTTTTCTTAATGCTACACTGAAGGATTTCCCTCTAGTCCCTTGTGGTCTAAATTTCTTAGTATCAAGATTTCCTTCTGTTTTATCTTGTCTGCCTCAACAGCCAAGCTATGTAAATATTTCTGGCATTCCTGCTTATTTCAGTGATGTTAAATTATCAGTATAGCACTGCCTACAAGCCAGAGGTTGCAGAACTTTCTGCCTGCCACTAATGCTGTTCTTACCAAATACTGTATTTCGTACAACATAATGTTTTTACCTCAACACCAGGTAATTGGCCTGATATTCCTCTTTTATCTTCGTTCTTTGTGGGAACCAATCATCCGGTTAATTGCAATTTCAGTCTTGTCATGAATTTTCACTCTTCTTTCCCTGGAGGATGTACCTGCTGTAGAGAGAAGCACAAGTTCTATCATCTCTTCCACCAGAATAAAAAAAACCAAAACAAACCCACAAAAAACCAGCCCTGATAATTTAATCTATTCATAAGCAAATATACCCTGTCTGGTGAGTGACTCAGTTAATGATATAGTAATATTTGCACTGATAAAAGTTTCCCAGTGTCTTAGGTCACAATAGCATGACATGAACAACTCATCAACTCCCCATGGGAAAGCCATGAGAAAAGAGTGGGACTGATAGAGCCCGAGATTTTTCATCACAATCATAAAGACCAATAAACCATGCAATAAACCAGAAGTTCTTGGGTAGGGTGGGAGATTCCCACGCTAATTCCATAAGCTAATTTTCTTGACAGATGACAACACCTGGATCCCATACTTGCCAGTTATCAGAAGAAACTATAGGGTGGCTATGTGTCACCTCTACGTCACAGAGTCAAGGCTTTTTCTTTCTCTACCCTCTCCTATAATCTTGAGTTTATACTTGAGATTTGGGCTTAGTATCCATGTTTACCTAATGCTATACTAAAAATAAAGCTTAATTGGGATAATTCGTTTATTCAGTGCCTGCTCATTTTTCTTGTCTAAGAAATAAACCAGCCACTTACCAAGTCCAAGTCTACCCAGCTGCTCAAAGGTACTTCCCTATCACAGGAGAACCTTCACATTAAGCAGAACAGCCATATGTTCAATGAGCATTCGTCCTTATTTGCCAGGTTAAGTCCAATAGGGTAAGCTCCAGAGGAGTCTGCTGCCCTAGGCACACTGCCCAGCCAACCTTGCCAGCTCATGGAAACAGTACCTGTGCAATTGTGTTGCCCCTGGAAACTGGCTGCCCAAAGCATCCCCCATTCCCTCCCTGAGGAGAGTGCTTGCTCCCAGATCAAATGTAATTTGGCAGTATTGTGAAAATCTCTGGGTGAAAAAAAATGCATCTTCTCAGGGCTCATTAACTATTTTGCAAATGGGAAATAGAACAAAAAAAGACCAGCAAGCAAACACTGTATAACTTGTTTGTCCCAATGAATGTTTCCAGATTTCCTACCAGATTCTCAAAATGTCAATGCAGATGTGCACCAACAGTAATTATATGTATGACAAGTTGTGGAAAGGATTAGTCCTACAAAATATTTCATGCTGGGAAACTAAAGGACCACAAAGAACAATAATTTTTACCTAACAACAGAAATTTATGTGGGCTAATGAGCCTCGTATCAAAAAACCAAAACAAATCAACAGACACAACAACTGTGAACATTAACTTTTATGTGAAGATATAGAAGAACTTTCTGCACAGTCCACAATATTTTTAATTAGTTTTTGTTTTTCTTCTGTTACATAACCTGGTTTCATCATCCTGATGTTACCATTTAAATTACATTTCTTATTCATTTAAAGTACTTTCAGGGCTTCAATTCTGCTACTTACCAGACTTCTGTGTCCAACATAATTAGATGCTGTTGTCCTACAAATTATTTCTAGATATGTTTCAAGCACTCCAATTATGCTCAGTGCACTGCATTGCAAGGAAAACCATTGCTGCTTTAGTGTCTAGGATACTGTCCGTGGATAACATCACCTGCACTGAGGATGTTTAACTGCAGATTCAATAAAGTGACTGCACAATAAACTCTCCTAGACTAAAACAGAGAAAATGAACTTTTAAAAAACAAAAATAGGTGTCATTTTTCACCAAGATAAAGAATTCAAACAAATGTGTAGTGATTATCTAACAGACTGGCTAAATAACTTTGGCCATCTTCTTATGCGTGTTTTGTTCCAGATATTTTCAGGAGGAATGCCAAATTAGACCAGTGCTCCATAAAAGTTTATAAAGGTGGTGTCACATCTCTCTGCCTCTCCTCTATTTGCACTGGAAAAGAGAAATATCATTTTAATATCAAGCTGCTGAAAAATTGGCTGTGCATTTCCCATCATTAGAAGTGTTCAAGGTCGGGTTTTGCAACATTTGAGCAACCTGTTCTGGTTGAAGATGACCCTGTCTGTGGCAGGGGGATGAACTAGATGATCATAGAATCACAGAGTGGCTTGGGCTGGAAGGGACCTTAAAGATCATCTAGTTCCAATCCCCCTGCCATGAGCAGGGACACCTCTCACTAGACCATGTTGCTCAGAGCTTCATCCAACATGGCCTTGAACATTTTAGGGATGGAACAACCACAGCTCCTCAGGGCAACTTGTTCCAGTGCCTCACTGCCATCATAGTAAAGAATTTATTCCTAATACACAATCTAAACCTGCATTCTTTCAGTTTGAAGCCATTCACCTTTGTCCTATCACTACAAGCTCTCTCTCTGTAAATAGTCTCTCTTCAAATTTTTTTGTGGGCTGCCTCCAGGTACCCAAAGGATCCAACCCTAAACCCATTCTATGTTTGTATCAAATTCAAGCCTCACCAGTTTTCTCCATTTAGAAAAATATTGCCCATAAATCAGTCAGTATCACTGGTCCCATCTCTCCATATATCTGCCAAACTTCTCTGACTATTCTACTAGTGAACAGTTACATTTTTATTTCATCTCTCATGCTGGTTGTCATGAATGAACAATAACAAAATTTCAGATACTTCAGATGTCCTCACTTAGTGACAAAGTGGTTGATATCATCTATTTTAATTCTTTTTCCTCTCTCTGGGTGGGATTCTCATTTCTGTGTCCAAAGAGTAGCTGTCTGGATTCAAACTAATCATCCTTTTTATAGCCAGCCAAAAGAAAGAGGTACTTTCAGGGTAGCCTTTATCTGACCTATTTTAAAGGTTTTTTAAAGGAAGTGTTCCATGCCTTAGAACTGTCTATTTCTTGCTCAGGTAAATTGTACCTTGTGCATCTAATCAAATTCTTACTGCCTCCAGTGACTTTATTTTTCTAATGCTTCTAACACTTATCTCCAAAGTAACAAGACTAGAAGTCCTGGAACAGATTGTTCAAATTTGTTCAAAGTAAATCTATGCAAAAGATCTTCAAAACTAGACCTGGGACTATCAGGTTGAGCTTTCCATCCTGCGAGGTTTTGAAAATTTTATCTCTAACGAAATAGAACAAAAAGTTGAAATGTTGACATTTTACCTGACTCAACTATATTAAAAGAACAGTAAAGCTCAGCTACAAAAATTTGTTCTTAATATATCTGAAAAATTCTTTCTCATTTTCGCTCTACTTAAAAAAACCCTTCAAATCTTCAGGAAAGTATTATATAAAATTTGGAAATGTATTGAAATTTTTATTTTAAAAGTTGAAAGGGCTTTCAACCATGCCAGTGCAACATCAGAAGGCTTCAAAGCCCACTCCACTCTCCTACTGAGTTTTGCTTTTGACAGATAATTATTTTCTGACCTCAGAGTCTCACCTGAAAATTCCTGATGGATTGAAGGTAAAGCAAATTTAAATTGTGAAAAAAGTCTTAACATAGATCAAGGTAGGTAAGGCCCACATTTCATATTAGTCCTAGCATGTCTGTATTTATTTCATACTCATTTTTACTTAATGTAGTAAAACTGAGCAACTCAGCTTGGTTAGCAGTTATCACAGATGTTTCCAGATTGAGGTGTTATGAGCTTGGTTCAAAGCCAAAACTCACTTCAAAGGCGTGCTGGAGTAAAGCCATCTGTCTTTCTAAGGCCAGCACCTGTTCCAGGCAGCTTTCTAAACTTCACAAGATTGCCTAAATAAACGTGCTCCTCAGAGGCCCCCAGTGGCACAGGAACACTGGGCAGCACAACCATTGCCTTTGTGGTGTCCTGGGGGTGGGAAGCCCACAGACATCACACCGCTTGGAAGTGTCATGGAACATCTAGGAAAAACCTGCCTGGTAGGGAACGTGATCTTGTTGCTGCAGCATTCAGCAGAGTTGGGACCTAATCTGATTTTATTCTGCACTGTCTAAAATGAGTTTAGAAATATAAAAGTAATTACTTCCCATTTCAGTTTGGCAAGAGATGAAATTTTTGAATTTTGAAATTTTTGCTAATTTCAACAGGACTCACCTGGCCATCTGTAACTTCCTCAGCTTTCATTCTAGAGAAATGGCTGGCTCTGAGCACAGACCCTGCTAAATCTAATTCATACTAGACTACAAAAGATCTAACTGAGGCACTAGCAGGCCAACCTCTTCAGTTATTATAGAAACTACGGCTCTTAAATTACTATGGAAAGACTTCACTACCAGAAAATTAGGTCCTCTGTTTCCCACCATATCAGCATTTTTTCACTACTTTTAAATGCAAGAGTATATCTTCAGTGGTTCAAAAAAAAAAAAAACAATGTGGCCAATTTGAGTAAATGTCTTTGTTCAGTCTGTGCTATAACTTTTCATTTTTGAGTTAATTCCCTGGTCCCATTAACTACAGGGTGGCCTCAAGCTTCTAGAAATGCCTTTCTTGTAGTGTCACTATTTCAAACTAAAAATTCCTTCCTCAATCAAAGTATCTTTAGGCTAAAGTTTCTCATGTTTTCAGTTGGCTCAAATAACAGGTTTAGAAATATTAGTCAATTCCATTTGACTGCTTGAGATGGAGAAATAAAAAAAAATCTCATGTTTTAAGAACTTTTCGATGCTATACTTATATGTCGATAATTAAAAGCTAGTATCTGCAAAAGCACATATAAAATTCTCTGTAACTGTGGACTTAAACTGGTTACATTTGATTACAGTTTGTTACTAAAAAGAAGAATAAAAGTATAAGTGTCAAAATTCTGAAGAATTTGGTGTACATATGCAACTACATATGTACATATATACACATGAAAAATAACATTTGTTAATTGGATCCAAGTGTTCTATGTTCTTTATGCTGCAGTAGAAGCAGCATTTACCTTCTTGTATTGGTATTGTCATCCAAGAGTAAAGAACTCTATCGCTTCTAGAGTCAGAAGAGGTTCACTTGAGAACTCCTTGTCGACATTTAGATCAAAGCAAAGCCATAATTGCTGGTAAAAGCTGGGATCTACCTGCAGGATGCTGTGTCACGATAAACTGGAGGAGTTCCTCCATGAGCCCAGCGATTTGGCAGCCCAGCACAGGGCTGAAAGCTGTGGGTGTGCTCGGGGTGTCTGCTCTGTGCACCTCAAACTGCCCCAGGCGTGATAGTCTTCTGGTCAGGGCCACTGCAATGGGGCAGCACAAAGCCTTGTTCTGTCACTTACCTGCAGTTTCTGCAGATGTTTCTCTATTTCAAAGGGCAGAGAAATGACAGAAGAAATTCACACTCTTTTAAGATAAGGTGTAGCACAGTTGGGATGAATCACACTAAGGAGATATCTCCTGCAAACAGAACAGAGACAACCAGCTTATATGAAACACCCTGTGTCTAGACAGAGAGAGATAGGCATGGTGAATGTCATGGCACGTGTCAAACACTTGAACTAAAATTAGAGTAAAGCTGTGGAAAAACCTGTAGAAATTTTGATTTAATGATGGCATGGCAGAGCTGCAATAACGCTGTTTGCTCTTGCACGTTTTGAGTGATTGTCAAACACTACCAATTGCATGCTAACTGTGACTTCATACATCCTTACAGCCATTTAAACAGGTCTCTGTGTGCTAAAACAGAGAAAAGATAGGCTAAAAAGAAACAACCAGCATGACCTCCAGTATGAGAGTAGAGAAATAAAAAGAGGAAAACCACCCAGCACAACTTGGAGGTATTTTGTCCCTAACACAGATAACACCATGGGTAGGAAATTTACCTCTTCTGTAATGCAAAAGAAATAGTTCACACATCCAGGCATA